GCCTCACATATTCTTTCTGTCCTGGGCAAACACAAACAATGATGGGCTATATTTATGAAACCAGCAGCTTGGAAGCATGAGCTCCAGATTACCATTACAATTGTAGCATAATTGTTTTTGATCGTTTAGCACTATTTACATGGAAGACCCTTCTCAAAATTTCATACAAATAAACTGGTTCTTTGTATATTCAGAGAATTCCCCATAGTTTTTTTCACATTTTCAATCAATCATCCTGTATTTCTCAACTTTCTAAATGCTGACATTGCAGATGTGCAGTGTTCATGAAGAGCTAATAGGCCAGTCACCTCCAAAAGCTGAAAAATAAAAAAAATTAAAAATAGTTGTGATTTCCTTTAAGGGTGTGTTGGGGAGGAGGAGTGGAGTTAGAGTAGGCTAGAAAGATGTCTGATAACAAAGCTGGTAATGATGCAAGATCTCCTCTTTAGGCTCATCCTGGGTTCAGGGTTATCATAAATTAGAGCCTCATCTTCCGCTTTCCATGTTCACGAGCACCATTTTATCAAGTCTTCTTGGGGTGATTAATGTCTGCAGGACACTAGCAACATGCCCTAGGAAAAAGCATTTCAGTCAGAAGACATGTGCTTAATTCTCAACCTTGTCATTATGAATTTGGACAAATTCCTCTTCTGTAAAATAAGATTAAAATAATCCCTACAGGTTTGTTATTAGAATTAAATGAAATAATGTATACGAAAGCAGCAATTTTTGGTTATTAATATTCAGATTTAAGTAATCAGACACAGCTTTGTTTACCTAGGGAACTTTTCCAATGACAGGGATATGTGTGTCAGCTGTTCAAGGTCCCTCCCCCTCTTCTTTTTTTTACAAATGGAAATAATTTTATTAAACTTTCTGGAGAGGCCATTTTAACGTCAAGGCCTGGGTTTTTCCCAGTGGAATTTTGGTCTTCATATCTGGATATGCGCGGGCAGAGACAGGCCGGGAAGTGGCTGGTTTGTGGACATGGCCCAGGCTGGCTGGACCTAGCACTGCAGCTCCTCCTCCTCCACCCACCGGGGGCCTCCCGCTGAGCTCTGGGCACTGGCATAGGCCGTGGAGCTAAGGACCTCCTCAAAACTGCCTCTACTGTGGTTGGACCCACCTACTTTCGTCTTGAGGCTTGTGACAGTTGTCTCAACCCTCTCCTCAAATGATTTGAAAGTAGGAGAATTCCTCATGGCAGGCATACTTATGGAATGGCGAATGGAGTAGCTCATGTCTCCAAACTTCTTGCTGATGGCCATCCCCACGTTGCTGAAAGCTGCAGTCGCCTTCTGCCCTGCATGACTCAGGGTTTCATGTGTTTTCTTGTAGCTAGAAGCAAAAGAGAGCAATAGTAAGAAACACAGTTCTAGCTCATGATCTCCTGTAAAACATTCATCTTCCTTCTCTCTGCTTATTTTTCCCTCCCCCCCTTCTTGTAATTAATGTATCTGCAAAACCAACTAAATTATTGGAGGTTGCCTGAGGCGTGGAGAGTTAAATGGTGATCTTGAAGAATGGTATTTTATAGCTATAACTTATTGAACATCTAGTCCAGGCCAGGCTTTTTGATAGGCCTGCATGGGCTCTAATCATTATACCATCCCTACGAAGTACATATTATTATCTTTAATGTACACATGAGGAATATGAGGCTTAGAGACACAGAGATATTAAGTTGCCCTACAAAAAACAGATAAGTCCTTTTTGTCTGTTCCATGCAGCTTATTCTTGTTGCAATGAATTAGATCATAACATATCTTCCATTAGCTACATTTTACTCTCCTAAAATAGATTTGAGATGTGACCCAGTGCTTTGATGAGATCTGGGACACACATTTGCAAATTGTCACTGGTGTGTCATTAAAAAAAAAAAATCCAATCTCAGAAGTTCTAGGGCTTTTTTGGGGAGTTTGGCCTATCACTCCCATTCCTGTAGACCTGCTCCCACCTGCCACTACATTCAAGTTATTAAGAAGCCATTACAAATTATTGGTGGTCTGAAAGGGGGTGTAGAGCAATTCTCATATAATGATCTTAAGCAAGTCTTTCCTTTCCTAAGTATGTCTGATTCTTTTTATTTTTTGTTAACCAAGACCCAAGCCTGCTTTCAGGCTCTTACTTACACAAATTATTTATAAAATATTTGTTCCTTGATTTTCTATTCTGTAAAATGTGGATAAAGTGAAGATCCAAATAATAACTACGCATGAGATTATGTGTTCATTTCAATTGAACAAACTTTTATAATGTACCTATTAAACATCAGGAGTTGTGCTAGATGCTATAAATAGAAACATTTTATAAACTGTGAAAAGCAGTACTATACAAATACAAGATGTTATTTATTTTTTAAGAGGCAGGGTTTCACTATGTTGCCCAGGCTAAACTCAAACTTTGGGCTCAAGCAATCCTCCTACCTCAGTCTCCCTAGTAGCTAGGTCTATAGGGACTGGCCACTGCACCCAGGTAAGGTGTTATTTTTGATCTAAATCATATAAAAATCATAACAATAATTCCTTATATTTCCTCAGTATTTTCCATATTGATTTGCTAATTTTCATACATGAAAACTGAGGCTCAGATAGGTTAAATGGTTTGCCTGAGGTCACTCACTGACTCCAATATTCTCTTTATTACCCCACACTGCTTTTCCAGGAATCTCTATACAATAGGGACTCCGCCCTGTTCATCCAAGGGTAATATCTTGGCTCTCATATGGTTTGGAGGAGTCCCCTTGACTAGCAAGTGAAATTGTACTCCCAAAAGCAATTTGCTCCGTGATTTTCAGATTTCTTAATTTGCGTATCTATAACTCTAGGCACTTTCATATGTGTTATCTCATTCATCTTCACAACAACCCTAAGGTCATACAACTAGTAAATGGTAGAGCCAGGATTGTAACCTGGATGTTCCTGATGTCTGAGCCCTATTTATTTCACTATACTATACTGCTTTGGGTATTAGTTGTATAATCACTTAACCTCTGTGACCCTGAGTTACCTCATTTGTAAAGTGAGTCTGATGATTACTTCCTTTCAGAGCTGTCGTAAAGCTCAAATGTGGTAATGTAAAATACAAAATGCCAGTAGAAACATGAATTGTTGTTACAGCTGATAAATGTACCAAAGTGGAGTAATTTAAAACAGTATTTTAGCCATGTGCAGTGTCTCATGCCTGTAATCCCAGAATCCCAGAGGCCAAGGTGGGAGGATCGCTTGAACTCAGGAGTTTGAGACCAGCTTGGGCAACATTAGCAAGACCCCATCTCTGTGCTAGGCTAAACTATGAGAGAGATGTAGTAGTGAGTCAGCTCCTTGTCCTCAAGGATTTTAAAGTTTAGTGAGGTGCAGACAAGCCCCCAACTCTTAAAAACAAGGCAGAGTATAATAAAGTCATATAATAAGTATAATAACATATAATAAAGCTCATATTAGAACACCTTGGAAGTGGGGTGTGAAGTTCCCAGAAGGCTTCTTGAAGTAGACACCATATAAGCCAAATCTTTGAAGATGAGAATTTCAAGTAACTGGTTATTCCAACTGAAGGTTGGCAGCAACAGAAAGTGTAGGATGTGTTATGTTTAATACAGGCAGGAACTAAGGCCATTATTGTGTGCACCCTACAATGCTATGGTCTGAGGATATAGAAATATATCAAAAATGGTCATTGCGGCCGGGCGTGGTGGCTCACGCCTGTAATCCTAGCACTCTGGGAGGCCGAGGCGGGTGGATTGTTTGAACTCAGGAGTTCGAGACCAGCTTGAGCAAGAGCGAGACCTCGTCTCTACTAAAAATAGAAAGAAAGTAACTGGACAATTAAAAATATATAGAAAAAATTAGCCGGGCATGGTGGAGCAAGCCTGTAGTCCCAGCTACTTGGGAGGCTGAGGCAGAAGGATCGCTTGAGCCCGGGAGTTGGAGGTTGCTGTGAGCTAGGCTGACACCAGGCTGACACTAGCCCGGGCAACAGAGTGAGACCCTGTCTCAAAAAAAAAAAAAAAAAATGGACATTGCCATTGAAGAGCTCTTAATATAGAGGGGTAGATGGGTGTAAATTGTTATTAAGGTGATGATGACTTCAAAAAGTAGAGAACAGAGGTTAGAAAGGAGCGTATGTAACTCTGACCTGGGGAGGAGAGAAGATGCTTTGCAAAGGAGTTGTGTCCTGAGAAAGGAGGAGGAGTTTGCCAGGCGCACTGCAAGAGGAGTTGAGAGTGCGGCAGGCACCCGAGCAGGTCCCAGCATTCTTTTATTGAATTCTCTAAGTGTGACAGGTAGCAGGCAAGGAAAGTATTCCTTCTCCCTTCCAAGTAGATTTTGGCTCTGGGAGGGAATGACTTAAAAGTCTTCTTTTTCAACAAAATGGCAGATGGTTAAATGAAAGGCTTTGGGGTCCGATTTGGATTCTAATCCAGCTGCCTAATCAGCTGTATGACCTTAGGTAAGACATTTATTTGTGTCTCAGTTTCCTCATTTGTATAACTTATTTGTGTTTCAGTCCCCTCATTAATACAATTCAGAAATAAAGAGCCGAGTACAGAGCCTGGCACGTATAAAATGCTGTTGTTATTTTCTGTCATTATCTCACTCAGTCCTCCAAGCAACCTGGACCGTGGGTATAATTTCCCCCATTTTTCAGAAGCAGAATCTCAGAGTAGGTAGATGACCTACCTAAAGTTCACGGGACAATCTGGAGACGCCTCCGCAGCCCGTCCACTTTAAATTTATTTCCGCGCCGGGTTTTCCTAGGCGGCCTCGGGGACGGGCTCTGGTCCGGCGGCTGAGACTCCGGCGCCAGGGTTTGCGCGCCGCCGCGGCCTGCTCGGGCGGGCGGGCAGGCGGGCGGGGCCAGGCGGGGCGGGGCGGGCGTGAGGAGGGAAGTTGTCGAAGTTAGGGGAGACGCCCGCCCGCCAGCCCGGGCCTCGCCTACGGCCGCTCCCTCCGCCTCCTCCCCGCCCCGAGCCCCCGTCTGCCCGTCCTTCCTTCCCCTCCCGTGCATGATGGAAACACCATGGCTGCGGCGGCCCAGTTCTCCCTGACACAGGTAACGCCGCCCGCCCGTCCGCCGGGCTCGGCCGGCCGGTGCCCCCGGCTCCCTCCCCCACCGCCCCAAGCTTCGCCTACCCGGGCAGCTTCTCTTGGCTCGTGGGCCGGGCGGTCGGTGTGTATGAGGAGAGCGTGTGTGAGAGAGGGAGGGCGCCTTCCCGAGCCGGAGCTCCGCCGCGCTAGCCGCGACCCCGCCCCGGTTCGGTCGGCGCCCCCGGCCCCGCCCCGCGTGGCCCCCACCGCGTACCCGCGGCCGGCCCCTCTGAGTAGCCCCAGAGTGGACTGTGACCCCAGCCTCGCTCAGTCGGTGTCGGGCCCGGCTCGCTCCAGTCAGCTTTCACCCGCCCAGGAAGTTTCCTGCTTCCAGGCCAGACGCACCCCAGGTGAGCTCCTGTTGAGCTCGCGCCTATCAGCCTCCCCCCTGGCTCGCACGAGGCTCGCCCTCTGGGCCGGGCGGCGCGCTTGCCCCGGGTTAGAGTTGCCGCCCCGAGCCGCACGCGCAGGCCCCCTCTGTCCTTTCTGAACTGGTCTTTGCCCACTGGAGTCCAGCGAAAGCCCTCCTTTCCCTGCAGTTTAGTCAGTCTCGCTTCCAAATAAGTCTCATCTTACCCAAGTCCCTCTCCTGTTAGCCCATTCCTGAATTCAGTCTCTTCCCCTCCTGATCAGATTTCCTTCTGGTCAGACCCCCGATTCAATCTTTTCCTTTCCTGCTCAAGTCTACTTCCACTTTCTCCCGTCCCCCGGGGGCTATCCCCTAATCGCTGTCCAAATGGTTCCCTTTAACAGGTGTGGTGGCTCCTCCAGTTCTGGTGCTAGGAATGACCTGGGAGCATTTGTCCGGGGGGAATCTACACCTACACCTGTTCTCAAGGCCTTCCCTCTTGCCCTGTTGCTTCCCCCAGAGTCCTTGTTCTTCACCTAAAACCTCTAAACATCACTCACTCTGGGAACTTGGTTCCTCCCTCTCTGTAAAGACAGCCAATCATAATCTAACCACGTTGTCCAGGATGAGGAGGTGACAGACACCTGCCAGTCCTTTCCTGCTCCTCTGACCAAAACTCGTCCCCACCTCACCTTCTCAGCCTGATCTCTCCAGAGGCTCCCAGTCGGGACCCACCCCAGCGGGCTGGACTGCCCGCCGGCCTGCCTTGTGTTTCCCTGCCATCTTGTAGTCTCCTTGGCCTAGATTTGTCAGTGTTTCTAAGACTTTAACACTGGTATAGGGCATACGTTTGGACAATAGTTTTCTGTTAGAATCAAGAGGTTTTGGGATGTTTTGCCTAGCACTCTAGGATAAAGAGATGGAGTAAAAATGTCTTCTTAGGAACAGGATTCACATAAAAATATTTGCCTCAGATAAAAGTCTGCAGGAATTACAAATCTCCTAAGTTAAGTCTTTTTCCCAGCTTCCCAATTTATTTGGTGTTGGTTGTCTTGTTCAGGGAAGAATCCTTTAACATGGAATGTGATGGTTTACATGAGGGAAGGTCCTCCTGAAACTCAAATTTGAGGAATGGCAACATTGACTTTTGGATATTTACTTTCCATGAGTCTGGTTAGTGACTTGCATTAAGTAAGATCCGTGTTGGCAGGCTGTTTTCTGGCTCTGTTGACCAATTCTGGCAGTTTTCCCCTCTTGAAGATTTTGTTCTCTTGAAGACTTGTGTAGAATTGCATCTCAGTTGTGTGCATACTTTATTCTCTTCCTGGGTAATACTATCTTTTTAGTTTCTATTTACTATCATTCATCTCTAGAGAATTGCTTCAGGCTCTGTCAGTTTTATAATCACTTAAAAATTTACATATGTTCTTGTGGTTATGTATTTAGGTATTAACATATACACAGAGTAAATAGTGAATCAGTAGTAGGTATTATCCTTCAGTGTCTCACATATAAGAGAACATACATCAGTGGTTAATTTTTATTGATAATTCAAATAAGTCAATTTAGAATATTTTGATTTTAAGGCACAAAGAGGCATAAGATACATTGTAAAGGCACAGGAAGAAAGAATCTTCCCAGTTGTTAGTATATATACCTTAATGTGCCTACTTGTTATTTCAAAACTTTGCAGATTTATGTTTTTTTAATTTAATTTTAATTTTTTAATACCTGAGCCCAATAAACAGATAACAACAGTGCATCCTAGTTTCACATTCATTATTGATCTGTTTACATCACCCTCTGTTTTTCCCCTCCACCCTCCCAACACACACCCTTACGCGTAGGCATAAAGAGTGAGAGATTCTTCAGGGACATCTTTTAACTCATCTCTATCCCTCAGTGCCTATCTGGAAGAAAGTGATTAATAACTCTTGGATAAATGACTGAAAATTCTGAAGGGCTCTATGACAGTTATGAAGATTAAACAGATGCTGAAGTTAGTTTCTGCCCCTGGTCATGAGATGATGATGATTTTGAAGTAGGTTCATTCATTCATTCAACATATATATATATATATATACACACACACA